CCCCAAAACCCCAAAACCCCAAAACCCCAAAACCCCAGATTGGTCTTAATAATTGAAGATTGCAAAAGAAATATATAACCATTAATTTATTCTTACTCAAAATCAAAGATGAATTGTTCCATTGATAGAATATGATCGATGCTCTTCTTCAATTGTAGCTCTAAAAGGTATAAATAACAAATTAAATTACCTTCCATTACTGGGAGATCGATCCTGTTAAAGCAAGTATGGGCTCTGATAAAGTTATGAGAAACATTGACCAGATTTATTGTAAATAATCATTCCTCCTGACGATTATTTTTCAAACTTTTAAAACCATCGATAGGGATACTCCTTCAGCCTGTTGCAAACTGTAGGAATTTCCGCAAATCATGATCCTCTAAGCTAGAGATAATTTTCCAAAATGTCGAAATAGTAGGATGGTTATGATGAAGAGTCTCTCCTTTATAAACAGTGTTAGCCTTCCAGTCATCAAGATTAATTTCTGTTTTACCAACCAATAATTTCTTCAAGTCTTCCACTGTTAGAATATTCAGTAACTTTCTTGGAATTATGCTATTAAGGCCCTCTAGAAAAGCAGAAATCTGCTTATAAGCCTTATGATAGCCGAAGTACTCCAAAAAGAGGTTTATATATGCATGTTTAGTGTAATTGTTGACCTTTATATTCTCACCGTCTTTTACAAGTTCATAAATGCCTTTGTCCTTATCCTGGATAGTAAAATTCATGCCCAATTCATACTGGCTGATCACGTTCTCCTTTATGTACGTGAATGAACTTGAGAGACTTTGATCATAAGTCATACAGTCTTGAATCTCAAAATCCTGAGACAGGATTCACTTCAGCATGAAATTTGTAAACTTGGGTTCTAAAGGGATGTCTTCGAATATTGCTTTCCCAACTATCTGGCCTAAAAGTTTACAGATTTTCAAAGATCCAGTGCTCTTTAAATGATAATAGACCTCATCACCAGATTTGCAGACCTCTACATTACTTCTTCCTCGCCCTTTCACTGAGTCTAGAAGCTCGCTTTCCTCTGATTCGCCGAAGTGAGCACTTTTGCTGCTCAATTTACTCTTGGGGAACCTTACTCTAGAGCTGTTGCTGTCAGGACTTCCATTGCGAAAAGAAGCATTTTCATTGATTTTGCGTTTGGACTCTTCTTTCGAGTCTGTGAGACTCTTTGAGCGCAGTAACTTTCTATTATTCCTTGTCTGTGCAAATTCCTCCCCGAAATTGATCTCATTCGGTGTTGACAAAATTGTTTGGACTATTGGGTTAGATCTATTAAACAAGTAAACCTACCTAAATAGAAAATCCATTCTTTCAGAACCCCTCCGGCATCTTGAGCTTCCTCTCCTACGAAAAAGATTTTTACTTCTTTGTAGAAGCTAAATCTGTCAGTCGATGATATCTGATTTATAGTATCTTTAACAATATTGTTCCGGTCAATCACAAGAGTAATAGAGTCTTCCATAAAAGAGATCCGGTTTTTCTGTAGCTCTCTTTTGAAAAACTGTATCCTTTCCTCAGAGGTATGCAAATTTTTCCTCTGAAGACTATCTTCCCTCTTCTGGCATGAGATAATATCTCGTTTCTTCAGCCTCGAACTTGCATAAATTTGCTCCAAAGTAATCCCAACTTTAGTTTCTTTCAAGTGAGGTAGAGAAATAGTATACTTTTCCATTCTCTTAGTGAGGGCGTTTTGGTCAATGCCCTCGTTGCTCTGGAACTGTATATTCTCATCTCCTTGTCGTGACTTCCAGCTATTTCTTCTGACAAATTTACAGTCCTCACCAGCTGGGACTTTATTCTGGACTCGTAAATTGCTTTTATTACGGACTTCTACTTGTGGTGCAGTAGGGTTCAGCTTGGACTTTTTCATAGGCTCTGGCTCTATAGTGACAGCTAAAGTCATGCATTAGAGCTAAGCCAAGTTATAACTTACTGTTGTGGTTAATTAGGAGCTCATTTTCTTCTTGAAATTGCCGCTTGCAGCACTTAGACCATCAAATTCCCATTTTTAAATGTTGTAATTATTATGAGTTTTGCAATAATTATTGGCAAGATAGGGGTTTTGGGGTTTTGGGGTTTTGGGGTTTTGGGGTTTTGGGGTTTTGGGG